TGGCAACCCTATACATTAATTTGGGAAGAGCTGACTCGTATAAACTTCCTGCCCAGAACAGGATGCGTTTTTTTCCTCTCTCTCTTTTTTTTCCCCCTCAATTTTGTTTATACATTTCTCATTAAAGTTGGTCATGTTCTTCCTACAGACCCCGAGTGTTTCTTAAGAGGGTCACCGCTAAGTGTTTTCCTGCTCTTTGGCTTCTTGTTTTCTTTTGTTTGGGAACGAAATGTGTTTTATCCTACTTTATCTCCTCGCGGGCCGGGGCTGGAGAATACTGAGCGATATTGAGGTGAAATATGTGTTTTGCGTCTGGCGACTTTCCTGAAACCTCTCCTCATTCTGAAAGCTCTTCCGCTGGCTCTCTGGGGCCCCGGGAAGGGCTCGGGCCCCCTCCCCCCGCCAGCCCTCCGATTTCCGCTTCACGAATCTCGCATTGTGTTCGGCTTCCAGAGCCCGGCCGAGCAGTAATGGCAAAAGCAGGCACCCTCACGGGTTCCTGTGCCGGCCTGGAATGCGGCGGGGCGCACCGCGCGGCTCTGAGAGGAAGCGCTTGTTTACCCTTCTCTATAGTTTCTGGGGGTTTTGTTTGGTTTTGTTCTCAGAAACGGGAGTTGACTCTCAGCAAATGTCCTTTCCCGGTGTTTTACAGTCCTGAGCCCTTTAAGATACGCCAGGCGGCAAGAATCAAAATAGGAAGGGGTGTCCGCGCTTTGCCCCCTTCCTCCCTCGGCCTGAGAAACAAGGCGGCGGCGCCCTGGGCGCCCCCCGGCCTGGCCCGCCCCGCGAGGGGACCATCCATCTGAGACGTGGGCTGCTCACATCCAGGCCCCTGTAATTCACGGTCCCCTTTAAAACATGTTGTGTCAGTAACACCGTGCTCCTTGCCCCTGGCAGCAGCTGCGGGCAGCGGGAGGTCCCTGGTTTTAACTCTGTGGGCCCCATGGAGGAATATGGCCGGGCTTGGCGATCAGGAGGCTGCATGGGGGAGCTGGCGGGCCCTGGGGGCGCAGGAGCCCCCGGCTTCGGCGCCCGCCCCTCTCAGGCGCCGTGTGGTTGTGTGCGGCCGCCCCCCGTCCCCGCTGGGCCCTGGGACCCAGCTGGGGACCGTGTGTCTCCCCCTCCCGGCCGGGTGTCCGTGATCACAGCGTGGGCTCGGGGCCGGGGCGCCTGTCCGGAGGCCCCCGTGCGGGCAGTGAGCGGGCAAGGCCCACGCCCGGCCTTGAACCGTCAGGCCCCTCTGCACTCTGTTCACCTGGAACCGCTCGCCCTGGAGGGCCTGCACGTGTGTGCGGCTTTTTCCGGCCATCAGCCGTTTCACAGCGTGGCCGCGGCCCATTGTCCGGAGAGCGCGCCTCGTTGGGCCGGCGCTGGCGGTTTCTGCCCGGCCAGGCAGAGGTTGGACCCCTGCGCCCGGGTGGGGCTCGGCTGGCGTGGTTCCGGCGGGGGCTCGGCGCCGGGGCGGGGGCCTGGCTGGGTCGCTGTGGTGTGGCTCGGACGGGTCCCCTGGCTCAGGTGCCGCCTGCCTGTCCTCCCCAACTTCACCCGTGCTCTTCGGGGCGTGAGCCTGAGCCGGAGCCGGAACCTTCTGCCGTCCGCCCTTGTAGAAGCAGCCCTGCCGCGGCCGCTGCGCCGGTCACGCCGTGCCGGGAGCCCCACACGTCCCGTCTGCACCCCACTCCCCAGCGGGCCTCCTCCTGGGGCGGTCGCCCCCGCCGACACCCACATTCTGCTTGCCGCGGCACCTCGCGCTGTGGCCCCCGCTGGCCCCCGCTGGCTGCCGCGCCCCCCCCCGCCGCCCCGCCGTCCCTGGGCTGCCGGCCCTGGGAACGGGGCGGCGGGGGGGGGAGGGCCCTTCCTCGGAGCCGCGTCCGATGCCCCCTCCCCCGCGTGGCTCCGTCTTCACTGGGCTGTGGTGTCTGTGACCCAGAGAAGGTTGCCCTTTTTTAAACCTCGTTTTGGGTAAATTTCCCCATCTCCTGTTTCACGACGTGTGGATTTCGTGCCTCGCCAAGAAGGGCCCATGGGAGCAGGGCCTCCGGTGCCTCCACGCGCCTGCGCCCTGAAGTTTGACTTTTCGGACGTGGGCCTTCAATGCCCAGGCGTTGGCTGGGGTGGGCGGCGTGAAGGGAGGGGGCCTTTCGTTTTTCACTCTCTGATGCAGCCCCGTCCTTGTCGCCGGCGACCCCGAGCCTGTGGCGCGTCCCTTCCCCGTGTCCCCCTGGGGACCAACCCCCCAGCGCCCAGAGGGCCCAGAGAAGATTTCCTTTTTCCTACGAGTGTGTTGAAGTCTCCTTCCCTTGCCCTGCGGCTCTGGCCGGCACGCCGGGGCGACGGCGCGGAGTCTGCCCCCGCGACCTGTGCCTCTGCGGAGGTGGACCGCGACGGCTTCGACGGGCGGGCGGGCGTTCCCGGGCAGCCGCTGGGGGAGGCTCCGGGCGCCGAGAGCGCGTTGCCCCTGGGAACCGACCTCCAGACCTGGGAGGGTCCCCACCCCGGGGGCCGCGGGCCAGCACGGGCGGGGCACCTCAGGCCGCAGCGACTGTCCTCGGGACCCCCGTGTCCTCGTCGCCCCTGCACTGCCCGCCCCCGCGTCCCCTCTTGTCTTTAGCTGCAGGGGGCGTCGAAGGAGGCGGCCTCTGCCGTCTCGGCAGCGGCTCAGAGCCCCTGTCCGCCCCGTGGGCGCGGGGCTGCCGGTGGGCGCACGCCCCTTTGTGTTTCTCCCGGGCATCTGCCCCATGCGGATCTGACGGTCCGAGCCGCCGGGGAACCTGGGCGGGTGGGAGAACGTCTTCCCTCCCCAGCAGGGGCTGTGAGGCGGGAGCGGGGAAGCCGGCGCCCTTGCCTTACCCTTGACTTTGAAGGGCCCTTCCGACGGGCCACTGTCAGGGTGGCGGCGGGCTCGGGGACGATGCCTTCCGGGGGCGGGGGGCGGGGGGGATCTGCCTGCTCTCACCCAGGCCCCCAGCCCTCAGGCTGTCCCTTAGGCGCACTGTCCCCTGGGTCCACGTGCTGACACGAGCCCCCTTAGCGTTGGAAAGGCCTGCCCTTGGCCAGGATGGAAGTCAAAAAGCAGGGAAAAAAAGAAAGCTCTTAGAGTGTTTTGGTGGGGAGGTATTTAACTGCTGGTTCAGCATCTTTAAAATGAAATCAGTCTGTTCGCGTTTTCTCCTTCGCTTTGAGCCGAGGCCGTGAGTTGCAGCTGCCCTGGAAGCCGGCCACTCCATCTCGCTTTCAGATGGGTTGTCATGGAGCCGCTGTGCGGCTCCCTGACTGGTAATTTCGCCCCCAAGTATCTCATTACGCTCCCCTCCTCGTCCTCCCTTTCCGGTTAATGACCGCGGGATTAGTTCTTTTGCAGAACCCATTGTTCACTTCATCTTCTCCATTAATTTTGTTTTTTCTTTTTTAATTGTGTTGTCTCTTCCCTATTATTTACACGCTGCTCTCTTTCTTCACTAGAGACGGGCGGGTCAGTCTCTGATTTCTTGCAGTAGATGTTGAACTTATCAAAATCCGGGGCCCGGTCCCACCGAGGGCTCCCGTGAGCGGAGTGCCGGGCCCGCCCCCCCGCTTGCCCGGCGCGGCCCGTGCGGCCGCAGCGTGTTCCGCGTCGCGACCTCGCGTTGCCTCTTGCCCCCATTTCCGTTCCGATTCCGCCCCTGACCCTGGGACCCTGCTGCCCGCGTTTCTGCGTCGCTGAACATCTGCTAATCAGCGAACTTCCTCTGGTCCTGACGTGCCTGGGGAGGGGGGACCGCGGCTGGGGCCTTCCTGAGAGAGCTTCCCAGTCCCGGTGTCCTCGTCCCCCCACCCCGGGCACCGAGGCAGGGCGCCGTCAACGTCCGCGGCAGGCCCCCGTTGCTCCTGACCCTCCCGACCTCGCTGTGACCATTGGGTGGCTTTAAAGTTCCCCACGCCAGTCCCGGCCTGTGTCTTTTCTCTGCGGTTCTGCCATTTGCCATTAAAGTCGCATTGTTCTGAACCTGCTCGACTCCCGGCGAGCTGACTCTCGCACCCGTGGGTGCTGACTGCCCCCCCGGGCGGCCTCGCCCGCTGCCGGCTCTGTGCCGCTCGCCCGCCTTCCCACCACGGGACGGTGCGCACGGCCCGATGGGGACGCGGGGTCACCGGGTCCTGTCATTCCCTCGAGCACAGTCCCCGCAGTGAAGTGAAGCTGGTCACGCAGTGTCCTTGCCCCTACAGTGTGTGGTCTAGCGCGTGGGGAGAGGGAGCAAGCGTGCTTGCGGGGTGTGCGTGTACACGGGGGTGTCCACGCCCAGGGCGCGGGGCTTGGAGGGGCGCCGCGTGTGTGTGTCGGGGTGCTCACACGTGCACGGGGGCTCTCCGGGGCCCGCCAGCCCCGCGCCGCACGCCCCTCCGCCCCCCCGCCCCCACCGCGCCTTCCTGGACGGCCGCGCCGGACTCGGGCCGCTTCCTCTGTGAATACCTGGTTGTGCGAGGCTCTGCGTCTTGATCCAATTTTTCTGATTTATATTTTCCATAATTCCGTTGGGTCAGGATTTTCAAATTTATGACACAGTGTGTACTGTGTTCTCTTCTAACATAGAAAGAGCGGTCTGTCTGCCCGGCGGCCCGCGCCGGAACGTGCTTTCCGCTGCTCTCCTCCGGAGGGTGGGGCCCTCGGGGGGCCTCGGGCTGCGCCCCCCCACCCGGCCCTGGCTCCCTCTGCCCCCCCATTTTGGGGGGACGTTCGTAAAGCCTCCCACTATGTGCTGGGCCCCTCCCCCCGGCCCCCTTCAACGGCAGAGCACGCGGGCCCAAACCGGCCTCAGAGCTGGCCCGGAGGCCCAGGGGCTTCCCAGGGAGACAGAGGACCCCTGCTGATGGTACGTGGACTCCAGCACAGGGGCCGGAGGGGCTTCTAGAGGTGGAAGCCGCTGGCAGCGCCAGGGCAGAGTCCCCTGGACCCTGAGGGCTTCTGCCCCCGCCTCACCGCCCCCAGCACCCCTGCCCCCCACAAGTCAGCACACGCCCGGTGGAGGGGGGTCCGACAGCTTTATTCACAGACCCCGGGGGGTGGGGCGGGTGCGCACAGAGACATGGGGGTTGCTCGGGAGTGGGCCCTGCACCCCCAGACCGGAGGACCAGATGCCAGCGTGGCAGCTGCACCGGCGCATGGTCTCTGCTTCGGGGGGCCTCTCTGGCTGCTCTACTTCCAGCGCCCGCCGACCTTGCCCTTGGCCGTGGCCCCAGCCTTCTTGCTGCTGCAAACGGGGAGCAAGCAGGTCTTGAGCATCGGGGTGTGCGGGTCCCCGGCCGAGCCGCGTCCCGTCCCCAGTGGACCCCCGGCCCTCGCAGCTCTGCCGGCCCAGGCTGCTCACCGGGGTGGGGCCCAGCCCGTCCCCCCGGCCCCGGCGCACACTCCCGGCTCCATCCCGGCAGCAGCGACTCACCTGTTCCTGGCCCGGCCGGGCCTGGGCGGCCTTGTGCTGAGGCGGTTAGTGTGGTTAGGGGGGGCTGGCACGGCGCGCAGCAGACGCCCTCCCCCCACCCCCCGCCCCAAGGACCCTGCGAAGGGCCGACCCCACGCCCGCCCGGTTCCTGGGGAGGATGGGCCTGGGGGCACAGGCTCCTGGCGTGGCGGCCACTCGGCCCCTTCCCTCTGGTCCACAGCCCTGGTCCTGGGGACGCGGCACCTGGGGAGCCTCTGTCTCACTCCCGAGTCTCGGCCACCAGTGAGAGCTGGACCCTGGAGTTGGGAGGTCGCCAGCCCTGGGGTGGCATCCCTGAGGAGCCTGCCCCTTCTGTCTGAGGCCCACTGCACGCCAGCGAGCCGGGGCGAGCCGGGCGCTGGGTTAAGGGAGGTGGGCGCGAGGACCAGGGCGTGTGAGCCCCGGGGCCGCCTTTCTGGGGAAGGCTGTGCTGTGCCCACCGCTGGCTTCAGGAGAAGGCCCAGCGCTGCTGGCTGCGCCCGTGTCCTGTGTCCTGCCGGAGCCCTTACACACATGCACCGCATGCACGCATGCCCATGCCCACGTGCGCACACGCATGCACACCCTGCCGAACGGCTCCTCTCGGGGGCCCGCCGCAGCCCGGCCCCGGACGCCGCAGAGCCTGGGAGGAGGGCCCGCCCCCCGGAGCAGCAAGGATGCCGAGAGCGACCTTAAATTTCGCAACCCCAAGCCGTCCTGGGACCACGCGGGGACCAGGCTCGGGGCCGAAGCCCCGGCGCGACGAAGGGGGGACCCCGGGTGGGCACTGGCTTCTCTGGGAGCCGCTCTCATGGACAGAGGTGCACCGTCCTGAGGGACCAGGCTCGCAGAGGGCCCGGAGGCAGACGAGTCTCCGGCGCCCTTAGAAGCGACACGCTGCTCAGATGCCCAAGCTGCCTTTGCCAGGCCTCCTGCTGGGCTCCCCAACCTGCTGTCCTCCGGGGCTTCGGGGCCCCTGGGCTGGCTTAGGCGGGTGGCTAGTTAGTCCTGTTACCGCTCTGCGGAGGCTGGGCGGCCGCCGGGACTGGCCAAAACCTCCGAGCCCCGGCGGGGGGCTGAGGCAGCCATGCCCTGGCGGCCGTGCAACCGGCGCAGAGCGCGGGGTGGGCGGGCAGGCTACTCACTGCTTCTGCGCCTGGTCGATGCGGCTCCTGAGGTTGGTGATCTGCAAACAACACGGGTGACCGGGTGACTCACCGTGACGCGTCCCGGCAAGGCCGGCCGGGTGAGGGCCGTGCGCCCTTCCTCGCCGCAGGCCTGCTCCGGCGTCCCTGGCAGGCCTCGGTGCCACGCGAGGGCCATTCACTCCCTTACTGTGTCCTGGCTCCTCTGGTTGGAGGACAGCGTCCCTCGGCCCTCAGGCCGTGCTCTGACTGACTGTCGGCGGCGTGGGAGGCCTGGGCCATGCCACACAGCGCCTCCGGAGCTGGCCACTTACCTTCCAGCCGGCCGAGGACGCGGGCAGAGGGCGAGGGCAGAGGGGAGGCTCGCAAAGGGAGCCCCTGACTCTGGCGGCCGCTGAGTGCAGAGCCGCCCTCCTGCCCCCAGACCCAGCTGCCCCCTCCTGCCTGCCGTCCAGAGGGGCACAGGGGAGGCCAAGGCCCCTCCCCACCTGCTAACAGGAAGGCAGGTGGGCCTCAGGCGGACCCTCCGGGCTGCAGGCCGGGGGGCGGGGGCGAGGGCCAGAGGCGCGGGGCAAGACCCCGTCACCTCCTTGCTCGCCGCCGCGTCCTCTGCGACTCAGGGCTTTGCCATGCGAGAGGCTCACCACGCAGCGCACACCGTGAGCTCGGGCCGGGCGGGCCCGGCTACTTACAACTTGGCCAGCATCTCCACCCTGGCCCGGACAGTCATGATCTGGAAAGACCAAGGCGGTTTCAGGGCTGCTGGGGGGCAGAGCCCGGGCCCTGCCGGGCCCTGCGCTTGCCTGGGCCCCAGGACCCCCGGGGGCCATGCCCGGGGGTGGGGATGGCGGGAGGCAGAGGGCAGGTCTGGCTCCGCAAGCGCGAAGCCCCTCCCTGCAGGCCAGCCCTGCCAGGAGCATCAAGAGGACACGTAGTCCCTGTGCCTGGCCTGCTGGCCTGGGGGACGCGTGCGCTCCTGGGGGGCGGGGCCGGGAGGGGTCTCGTGGTCCTCCCTCTGTTGGGGGAGGAAACAGAGGCGCAGGAGGACAGGGGATGTGCCCAAGGGCACAGGCCCCTGAGAAGGAGCCAGGATGCCCCCGGCCGTCAGTTCCGGCGCCCCAGCGCCCTCTTGTCCGTGGCTGGCAGGGGTGGCCGTGCGGGCTGCCCCCCTCCCTGGGGCCCTGGAAGCGAGAGGGGCAGGCCCCAGGCCCAGGAAGGCGAGGCCGGAGGCGTCTGGGTTCGGGAGGACAGGCCTGTCGCTGGCCGGGCGGCCTCCCCGGGGCCCCCACACCGTGGGGCCTGTGTGGGCCCTGAGCTGCTATCCTGACTAGTGAGCCCTCTCGGGCCATGCAGGCGGCCCCCCTCCAGAGGGGCACCGTCCCCGCTCCCGGTCCCAGCCGGCTCTCCGCTGAGGAGGGGACTCGGGCCGGGTCCCCAGGGGCTCTGAGGAGGCAGATGTCTTGGGCTCGGTGTGGCCGGGACCTGGGTTTGCAGATGAGGCTTCGGGGGAGGACGCCCCACAGCCAGGGGAGCCCAGAGCCACCCTGGGGGCGGGAGCTGGTGACACGGGACTCTGTGCAAGCCCGGGCGATCCAGAAACCGGACCCGAGTCTGCTGCCCGCGGCTCCCCTCGGGGCGGGGGCTGCTGGCCCGGAGGAGCGGGGTCGGCCCAAGGGGCCAGACCCGTGGGGGCGGGCGGCGCGGCGGGCGGGGAGGCCGGGCCCGAGGGCCGCGGTGCGTGCACTCACGTCGTATTTCTGGCGCTTCAGCTTCTCGGCAAACTCGTACTTGTCGGTCTCCAGTTGGTACAGAGTTTCCCACAGCTCCTTGGCCTTGTCCCTGGGAAGTGGCAAAGGCCAGGCTTGGCCCGAGAAGCCCTGGAATGCAGGGCCCCGGCCCCCGCGGCCCTCCTCCGGCCGCCCCCGCGCGCCGCCCCGCGACTGGCGGGTGCGGGCGCAGGGCCGGCCTCACCTCAGCTTGTCCTCGCTGAGGTGGTCGATGTTGAGCGGCTTGCGTCTCTCAGCCAGAACCTTCTTCTTCATCTCCCGGGCCGTCTGCTTCTTGCCTCTCTTCTGATCGGCCTGAGGGGACACAGCCAAGGAGCCCGGCCTCAGGAGGGGACGCCGTTCAGCCCCGCCCAAGGCGGGAGGCCGGCAGTGCGGGCGGACGCCGGGCGGGCTGCCTGGCCCAAGCGCCTGCGCTCACCTTGGCCAGGTAGCTGCTGTAGGTGGCGCCCATGGAGGACAGGGCCTTCTTCTTCTTCAGGTCGTCCTCCGCTCTCCTCTTGGCGTCCTCCTCCTCCCTCCGGGCTTTCTCCTCCTGCGGAGACCCCGCCCCCGCACCCCGCGGTCCCGGTCAGCGTCTGCCCTCGCGGGAGGCAGCGGGAAGGGCCAGGCCCCCGGCACGTCCGTCCATGGGCCTGTGGTCCGGGCCCAGACCCGGGCGGGCGCAGCCTCACCGCCAGTCTGTTCTGACGCTCCCGCTCCTTCTCCGCGCGGATCCGCTGCTGCTCGGCCCTCTCTGCACGGCGCTTCTCCTGCGGCCGGAGGAGCAGTCGGTCGGTCCAGCCCGGCCAAGCCCCCCCCTCTGAAAAATGAGGCGCCCCCCGCCCCCCGCCGCCCCGGCTGTCCCACGCACGATCCTCTCCTTCAGCGCGATCAGCTCCTCCTCCTCCTTCTTCCGCGCCTCGAAGTGGCTGTCGATGAGGGCCTGCAGCTCCATGAGGTCCTTGTTCTGGCGCTTCTTCTGGATGTCCTGTGGGCGAGCGGCCCGTCGGTCCCCCCGGCCTCACCCTGCGTCCTGCCTGCCCCCCGCCCTGGGCTCCTGCACCGGAGCCCCGGCTCCTGTGGCCGCTGTGGAAGCTGACAGTGGCGGCAAAGGGTCCCCGAGCCACAGGGCAGGGACAGCGCCCCCCACCCTGCGGCTGGGTCACCAGGACCCTGGGATGCACTAGCTCCCACGGGGTCCTGTCACTGTGCTCAGAGCCAGGCAGAGAGGGAGCTGGCGAGCGAGGGAATGTGCCGGAGAGACCTGTGGGCGGGTGGGGGGTGGGGGGTGGACGGGTGGGTGGGTGGATGGGTGGGTGTGTGAGTGGCCTGATGGGTGGGTGGATGGGTGGGTGGGTGAGTGGCCTGATGGGTGGGTGGATGGGTGGGTGGGTGAGTGGCCTGATGGGTGGGTGGATGGGTGGGTGGGTGAGTGGCCTGATGGGTGGGTGGGTGGGTGGGTGGGTGAGTGGCCTGATGGGTGGGTGGGTGGGTGGGTGGGTGAGTGGCCTGATGGGTGGGTGGGCGGATGGGTGGGTGAGTGGACGGATGGGTGGGTGGGTGGAGGGATCCATGGAGGACGGACGGGTGGGGGGGCAGCTGGATGGGCAGCGGGCGGACGGGTGCGGGGTGGGTGAACAGAGGGCAGCATGGCCAAGTGGACGACGGGCAGCTGGGGGAGGGCACGGCTTGGTGCCTGGGTGAGTGGGTGCATGGCGGGTAGAACAATGGGCGGGGGAGGAGGGAAGAGCAATGACGCGACGGGAGACGCTCCCTCTGGCCCAGGAAGGCACCGAAGCACCGTTGCCCGGGGTCAGGGAGCCTTAGCTCTGGACGCCTGAGAGATGGACTTCTCCGGCCTGGAGCCTGGGGCTGGGGACAGACACGCGCGGACCCCGGTTCCACAAACTTACATCGAAGTCTACTTTCTCCCCTTCCGGGATCTTAGGAGCAGTGAGTCTGAAGGAGAGAGAAAGGCTCGTGAGCGGAGACACGTGGGGACCCCACCAGCAGCGCTGGCCGGACCCAGCCCGGCCTGTCCCCAGGCCGGCCCTCCCTGCCTCGGGCGCCGCGCCGAGGGCGCGGGGCCCGGCCTGCCTTCTTGTCAGGCGTGGGACCCACTGTCCCCTGGGCGGCTTGGCCCCCTCGAGAAGGTGTCAACCTCTTCGTGTCCCTCTGGTTTGCCAACTTCTGGACACCTCAAGGGCACCCCTGTGTGTCCAGGAAGGTCACCCTCGGTGTCTCCCTCAAGCAAATAAACAAAATGCCACGAGCCTCAGGCCGGAGGCAGGGCGGTCGCCGCGGGTCCTCGGGGCGGCGAGGCCTCGCTGGCCAGGAGTGGCCCTCCTGCCCCTCGGCATTCCTGTGGCCCCACTTTAATCTTTCCTTCTGGGGACCCAGAGGAAGGGGGCCGGGCAGAAAGCAGTTCGGTGGAAAGAAGAAAGGAACCCCCGGCTCCGGCGGCTCTCAGTCCTGCCGCGCCCCTCCCCCTCCCCCGATGCGTTCCAGATGGAGCAAAGAGTTAAAACGACAACAATGATTTTTTAAAACAAGCCGTAGAAGAAAGTGGAACTGAATATCGATCAAACCGCTGGATGGGGAAAGGGTTTTCTGAGCTCAGAAGGTCCCGCGGAGGGAACCGCGGCCAGATGAGCACATGCAGATGAGAAACGTATGTGTGCGGAAGGAGGCAGAAACCGAACGGGGGGGGGGGGGGGAACCCAACCCAGACTAGAAAAATATTTTCAGCAAATACAGAGAAGACTTATATCCTTATGCAAACGGATGATTAAGAAAACAGAGCGCTGCCTGCGTTAGATAAATGGGCAGAGGCCGTTCGCCGCCGCCGCTCAGAGAAGAAAGAGAGCAGTGAAGGGGCGGGGGCCGGCCGCGGGCGGCCGCGGCAGGAATGCTGGGCAGACGCCCCCGGAGGCCCCTCATCCATCAGCGGCTCCCCGGGCGCGGCGGTGTGGGGCGCAGACCCGCTCACGACCACGTAGGAGACCGTGCTGGCAAGCCGCGCGCGGAAAGCCATTTGGCAGGGGCGCCCAAAGCCTGAAGAGCGTTCATACTCTTTGACCCATTAATTCCAGTTCTGGGAATGCGGCCTAGGGAAATAACCCGAGAGACGGAAAATGCTTCCCACCCAGCGTTATTTATGATAGTAAAATATTGGGGGAAGCCGGCACGTCCTGCGCTGGAGGGACGGTTAGGAAAATTAGGGTTTGTCCAATTGATGGAATATTATGTGGCCATTCAAAATATTTAAGAAGACTATGTAAAAACATGGAAAAATACTTATGAATGGTGCTACATTTTTAAAAAGCAGAATTCAAGGTTGTAGAGACAGTCCGGGCTTTGAAAAACAGCTCGGAGTTTAAATCTTTTTTTCCGAGCCCGATGCATGGGAAGGGTAGGAAGAAATAAGCCTTTTTATTTCTTTCTCCTCTTTCCCGCAGTCTGGCTGGCTGGGTGGGAGTTATAGATGATTTTTTTTTTTCTTCAGGGGACTTTTATGTATTTTCCAAATTTTCTTTAATGAGGTGTTTTATTTTCATAATGAAAACACAAACATTTTTTTTAAAAGTAGAAAATATCTTGTGACCCGGCAGCTTTCCTTAAAATTGCTGACAAATAAAGTGGCAGAGATGGACGCACGCTGGCTCTGCCTGCTGCTGCCCCGGGCCCGGCCCGGGGGGAGCCCACGGGCGTGCGTGCGGCTGACATTCCACCCCCGCGGAGCACACACAGGCACGGACGGGCAGGGGGCCCCGTCACGTACCGAGCGCGGGGGGCTCAGGCGCTTATCTCGGGCGGAGAAGCCAGCACGCTGGGATCCATGCAACACCCCCGACACCTCCCGGGGGGGACAGACCCTCCCGCCCGGACCGCTGGCTCCCACCTCCCCACTTTCGGGTTCCTTCCCTGTCTCAGGCCCCCGGAGACCCCACAAGCCAGGGTGGGCGCGAGGGCTCCGGAGGGGACGAGCAGAGGGCCGCAGGGCCTCTCTCTCCTCCGCTCCCCCCCCCCGCCCACCCCTGCTCCCAGACCCCCTTCCTTCCTTGGCCGGCGGCCTTCTTCTGCAGGAAGTTTCCCTCGCCCGCACTGGGTGACCCTGGGCGGAGCCACAGCTCACTGGGCCTCCGGAGTCCGCCTGTCTGTCCCCGGGGGTCGAGTGCCGAGGTGGGGTCTGGTCCCCGCGTGCGGGTGGCCCCGGGGGCCCCCAGGAAGCCCATTCCCACACAACGGCCGCGTCGGGCCTAGGACTCTGAACTCCACACCAAGGAGCAAAGCAGCGGCCGCTTTCCCTCCGGCCTTTGGGTGCCAAGTCCTCCCCCATGGAGCCCAAAGGCAGAATCTTCCTCTGGGGCGCCCGGCTCCCCGTTCCCCAGCGACCTGGGTCCCCGTCCAGCCGCGCCCTCGGCGTTGCCACTGCCCACGCCCAGCCCGCCCGACGCCCAGCCCTGCCCGACCCTGCACTCACTTGGGTCTCGGCTTCTCCTCTAGTCACCACCGGGCCAGCCAGCAGAGGAGGGGAGAGAGAGACCACATGAGACTGGGCCCACTCCTGCCCACGGGCCCCGGGGTCCGCCCGGCTGGGGGCTGCTGGGCTCAGGCCTATAGGGCTACTTGCTCCGACTGAGCCCACCACCCACCCGCCCGACACACCAGGGCAAGAGGGTGTTGTCTCCATTTGGGGCCTGCGGGAGTCTCTGTAGGGCCCAGGAGGAAAGCTAAGGGTTGGGGGAAGCCGGGGCAGGAGGAGGAAGAGGGGCACACGGAGGCGAGGCTGGCCTGGGGCGGGCGGGCGAGGCAGGCCAGAGAGCGGGAGAGCCGGACGAGGAAGGAGCGGCGCCGGGGCCGGGGGCCTTGAGCGCACCCTGCCCAGGCTCCGGATCTGCTGGCCCGGCCCCACGGCCGGCCCCTCGGCCTGGCAGAAGCTCGGGGGGCACAGCGCCTGGGGAGCCCCACAGGGGAGCCCATGACGACGGCCATGCCGAGCAGCTCGCCCGTCCCTCTGAGGGAGGGGGATGGAGAGCTGGCGCGACAGCGCAGGCAGCCGCGAAGCGCGTCCCCTCCCCCGTCGCGGGCACCAGAGCAGAGGACCCTTGGCCCTCACCTTCCTCGTCCTCCCGCTCCTCCTCTGCGGCGTCTCCTGGGCATGAGCGCACATGCAAGAGAAAAGCCAGCCAGCCAGCCAGCCAGGCTGCGGGCAGCGTTGGCGGGAGCGGGACGCAGGGGACGGGCGCCCAGACCCCCGTTCCCTGGGCGGGTGGGCCTGGACCTCATCTGTGCCTTCAGCTGGGGGCCAGGGAGGCGCTGTCTGGGGAGGGGGCTCAGGAGGTGGCGGTGGCTGTTTGGGGGGCGCGGGGGCCTGGGGGCAGGAGCAGGGCCCTCGGCGGCCTGTAGGGGCCGGCCGCTGGCTCCTCCCGGTCTTTCCTCTGGGGCCGGCAGGCCCCCTTGGGAAGCCGAGACCGTCCACAGTGTTGCAGCCCCGGGGGGTGGGGGCGGGCGGCCCTGAGGCCTGGCTTCTGGGTTTCGCTGGGTCCAAACGCAGCGGGTCTCGGGCCATCAGGCTAAGGAAGCCCATCGGGGCCTCGGGCCCCCGCAAGCCCTGCTGGCTCGGGCGGCGGCACCCGGCGCCCAGCCCCTGCCCTGGCCTTTCATCGGCACTGATGGGATGGAGGCTCCCAGCCGAGCAACCCCCTCTGACCACCAGGCTCCTCTCTGCCCCTGGCCGTGGCCAGCAGGCCCCCAAGGGTAGGGTGGGGGGCATCTGGCCTCTGCGCCCCGGCCTGTGTGTGCACCCGGCTCCCGACCACTCGGGCTGCGCAGGGACCAGCACAGAGCCGGCGGGCCCGGTGTTGCCTGTGGCCAGCGCCCTGGGCCGGGGCGGCGAGCGGGCAGCTGAGGGCGCGGCGGGTGCCCGGGAGCAGAAAGCTGGTCAAGGGGCAGACGGCGGGCGTGGCGAGGGGCACCCGGCTCTGCGTGGGGGCCGGGCTGGAGGAGCGCCTGGCTGGGCCCCGGGGTCTGGGCGGCGGGGGGGGCAGCCCGAGAGCAGGAGGGAGCGCGGCCCTGCCGCCAAGCACCCCCGCCTCCTGTCCGTCTGCCTTGGGGCAGGTTCGGGTGGCCTGGTGACCTGGACACTCTGTTCTCTGGACACTTGGCCTACTCTGCCGCCACCCACTGCCCCTTTGTCTGGCAGGTGGCCCCCCTGAGTCCGGGGCGGGGGAGACAGCTTTGGGGTTGTGCTTGGGGCTTGGGCCCGGCCGGGAAGCCCCCTGCAGCCCGACCCAAGAGTCACGTGAGTGGCAGGAGCTGAGGAAAAGGCCAGCTCAGGCCCCTGACGTGGACCTGCGGCCCCCTCTCCGCCGGGGGGGCACGGCCCTCACACCTGGGCATGTCTGGCCCTGGTCCCGGCGAGGGGCGGGCCGCCTGCATATTTGCACGCCAGGCCCCTGCTTGCTCTGGGGCTGCCGGCCCCACCTCGGGCCTCAGGCTGACTTCATGCTTCACCCCACTGCGCCCCCACGCCGCCTCTCCGGCCTGCTCTCGCTCTGGGGCTGGGCACAGGCCACCTGCCCGCCTCTGCTCTGTGCCTCCCACCCCCCATGGGTCCCGAGGGTCTAAGTGGGCCCCCCACGCGGCAGCTCCCAAGGCCTGCGCCCCTCTCGAGCCTCACCCTGGGCTTCGCCTCAAGCGGGCCTCCCCCAGCTTCCCGCCGGGGGGCCAGGAGGAAGCCTGCACCCCGTCAGCCAGCCCTGCCACAGCCAGCTCTCCTGCCCCCCTCCAAGCCCAGGGGAACGGGGCGCGAGCCACACAGGCAGGCAGGGTGGGGGGAGCGGGGAGGGACGGGGACGAGGACCAGGCAGGGGGCTCCGGCCTCGGTCGGCAGCGGACGTACCTTCCTGGACTTCCTCTGCAGGAGCAGCGCATGTGGAGAGAGAGGGGAGAGGCAGTTGTGATCAGGAAGCCGGGACGGGGGCGGCGGGGGGTGCAGTGCCAGGTAGGGGCCGGACCGGCGCCACCCTGTGAGTGGGTCACGCGCCTCGGCGCCTCCTGGGCCAGGCCGCGGCTCCTCCCGCACGCGGCCGCGTGTGCACGCGCCGCCCGGGGCTGAGGTCCCGGCACCTACCTGGTTCGTGAGCCTGGTAGACTAAGGAGGGCACGTGAAGCAAGAGCGCGGGTCAGAGGTCAAAGGAGGAAGGGTCCGAGGGTAGCGGACGCAGCCGGTCGCCGCGAGGGAGAAGGGTCGGGGGCCGGGCCGAGGGGGAGCATGCGGGCGGCGAGCAGGACACCGTCAGTGTCGGCCCCGGGGGCTGCCGCACCCCAGCGCCGTCCCTGCCTCCCATGTGGGGAAACCGAGGCTGCGGACTGGAGCTCGCAGCCCTGGCTCTAGCTTTCGTTGTGACTTCAGGGCTCTGGGCTTGGGACACCGGGGTGCCCGCCCATCCTGCGGCCCCGGGAGGGCCTCTGTGCCTGCCCGTGCTGAGCCGAGGCCCGCGCTGCGGGCGGCGCCAGGGCCTCCCTCCGAGGCCAGGCCGCGGGGCCGCTGCTTCATCGCCCTCCGCCCGCCCTGAGCTGGGCTGCGGCCCGGACCCCGCGCGGGGTCCGAGAGCGCAGGGCCTCTGAGTGACCTCCCTCTGGGGCCGAGGACTCTTTCCAGGGGTCGAGAGCCCAGGCCTTGTCTCCCATCTGGCTCAGCAGTCCCCTAGTGACCCGCCTGTGGCCCTCAGGGTGTCCCCAGTCGGGTCAAGCATTGGCTGTGGTTAGTGGGTTATGTTGGGGCCACATGTGGGGGCCCCTTGGCTGGCTGGCGCCTCCTCGCTGAGTCCCGCTCCTCACCCCCCACCCCCACCCGGGCTCCAGCCAGGCCCCGGGCCCCACATGGGGACCAGAAGTCCTGTGTGTTCATACCTTCCTCATGGACTTCTGCAGGCAGAGGGGCACCGGGTACGGGAGGCAAGAGGAGAGAGGAGAGGGTTAGGCCAGGAGCGCACTGCACGGCCTCGGGGGGGAGGTCAGAGTGAGGGGCCGAGGTCAGCGGGGCAGACGGGCCACACGGTGCACGGGGCCGGGTCCCTGGACCCGCCTACTCACCTTCCTCCACAGCCTCCTCTGAGCCGGAGCAGCAGGGCGTGGGGAGAGAGGAACAAGGGCGGCCATTAGTGGGGTGAGCAGGGGCAGCAAGGAAGGGGGGATGCATGAACGGGGAGCGTGGATGCCGGGCTCGGGGGCTCGGGGGCCGGGGCCTCAACCCTGCCCCTGTGGAGCTGCCTCCGGGCGCCCTGCCTGGGGCCCGCCGCCGGCCGGCACCGAGGCCTGGCCCACTCCCACCCTGCGGGGACAAGAAGCGAGGGCCGGAGACAAAGTCCACGTGCGGTGCGAGGACAGGGACCCCGGGAGACCGTTGCCACGGGCCAGGCGGCGTCCGGCTCCGCCTGTGGGTGACGGTGGCCCCGTGAGCATCTCGGAGGAACCCCGTGCCGGGGACCCCCCCCGCAGGCCACACGGCCACAGGGCTTCCCCGGGACCCCCTGTCCCCCGCGCTGAGCCCTTCCGCCTTCACGGCGGGAAAAGGAATGTTTTGCTTGCGTCGTGAGGGTAGCCAAGTGTTTTCAAAATATTTTCCAAACACAGCACCGAGAAGGCCTCACAGGAGAGCCCTGCCGGGCGAGGGTGCGTGACAGGGTCCGGGGGGCCTCCCTTCGGAGCCTGAGAACCGCCTCGCCGCACGGTTCCCAGGTGCGCCCGCCCGGGCACGGCCAGGAGGTTCCCATGGACGCCAGGCAGGCGTGAGGGCGGGGCTGGCCCGAGGTGACGCAGGGCGTGGGGAAGGGGTGCAGAGGCACAGGCGGGCCTGCCCCACCGGGCCCCCCAAGTTAATGAGGGTGAAAGTGTCAATGACCGAACCCCGGCTAACTGCACACAGCGCGGCCGCAGCGAGGATGAAGGGTTAATGGATGATTAATGAACGTTTGTCTATTAATCGGTTAAGGAGGTGGGAAGTTGGCCGTGACGGCAAATGGGAATTAATGGCGAGGGAGGTGGATGGTTAATTGTCGAGCTCCAGGAGGCCCCCAGGGGCTAAGCGGATGGAACCGGACGGGGATGCCGAGCTCAGGGGGAGGCCGGGGAGGGGGTCTCCAGGGCGCACACTCACCTTCCTCCTCGCACTGCTCTGCTTGGGAAAGAAGACAGGGCAGCGGTGTGTTAGCGCGGCCGCCCCTGGGCCAGCCGGGAAGGCGGCGGGGAAGGCCCTGGGGCTGGCTCTTGGGGAGCGTCTGAGACCCCGGGAGCCTCTGTCCCAAGTGGGGAGCGTGGCAGAGAGTGGTCAGGGTGCCCAGAGCTCCCGGGGGCCAGGCTGCCCCCAGCAGCCCGCCATGCTGGCTGGGCGCACGCAGGGCAGCATCCGGGTGTGACCTCTGAGAACCAGGAGGCCTCAGGCGGCAGGAGTGGGGAGCCCATTTTCAGAGGAGGGTTGAACGAGGGCTCCCCGAATGGGGCCAAGTGGGGGCTTCCGGCCAGGGGCCCTGAGGAGAGCCGTGCTGTCGGCCCTGGGAAGAGGGTCCCCCCTGGGGGCCGCGCAGAGAGGAGGGGTGCCTTCGCCACTTACCCTCGACCTGTTCACTGTGGGGGGAGAGAGAGAGAGAGGGAGAGGGTGAGGGGCCTTCGCTCAGCCCAGGGGGTTCTCACAGACCCAGCGCGGCCCAGGGGTCCCCAGGCGGGGGAGGCGGCCTCTCAGGCTCCTACTCACACTTCCTCGTCTGACATGGTGCCGGGGGATTCCTGCGGGGTGGGGGGCCGAGAACAGAGTGAGGGTGGGCTCCGCTCCGAGGCACGGGGGCGGGCGGGGCGGGGGAGTGAGGGGACAGCTGTGGAGGGGTGGGGAGCCCCATCTCCGGCCAGGGGCAGGCTGTTCCCGCGCTTGAGGCCTCTCCTTGAGGCCCCTGGTCCCCCTCAGGCCCCAGGCCCCAACCCGCCCCCTCCTCTTCCTGCCTTGGCTCCGGCCCGAAGCCTGGAGCCCCGGAGCCGGACGGGATGTGGGAAGGCTGTGCCCCCGCCCCCGCCCCCGGCAGGCATGCTCCCCCCCGCGCTCCCCGAGGAGGGTCGTGCGTGTCCGGGCCAGCGAGGCCGTCCAGGCTGTCCTGGCCGCGGCACAAGGCTGCGCTGGCTGACTCCCATCTGCTCGTGGGGGCCTCCGCCCTTAGGCCGAGGCGGGGGCCCCCTTCTTCCCGGCCCCCGGCCCCTCGAGAGTCCACGTTCCTGCTGCGAGCTCCAAGCCCCCCTCTCTGACCCCTGTGTTCCTGTGAGGGCCCACGTTCTCTTCCAAGAACCCTGGGCTCCGCTGCGTGTCCCACAACCCTGTGCGGACCCCACTTTCCAAGTCACAGGAGCGCACAGGCTGCTCCCCTTCTCTGTCCCTCGTCCCCCCAGGCAGCAGCCTGAGCCCGGAGCTCGTGGGGACGGAGGGGAGCTATTTTCCTGCGTGCTGCACCCCCCCACACACACATGTGCTCTGCAGAACTGAGCGGAACACCCCTGTCCCGCCAGCCCCCTCCTCCCCCGCCCGTTTTCCCAGGCCCTGTGCATGCTCTTGAATTTGTCAACGTCTGCAGGGAACTCTGTGCCCGGGCCGCACGTGTCCCGGTGCGGCCGGCGCCGGGCCAGCGCGCTCGAGGACCGTGTTCCGGCAAGCTGGCCGCCGCGCACGCCCGAGGCGGCCGGGGCCTGGGAACGCCCGGGGCGGCCCTGTGATGGCTGGCTGGGGGTTTCGAACAACCAAGTTTATGACAACACGTTACAGCTCACTTGAAGACAATAGTTATGGCCCCCCGCCCCCCGGGGAGCGCTGTGCAAGAAAAACACGAGTTCATCATCGGAAAATGCATCCACGTTGCACGGCTAAGGTGGGACCCGTTTCGCAAAGCCTCGGCCAGGAATGCCGATTTTCCCAGAGCAGCCCAAGCTCCACGCATCATTAACCCGCGCGGCTCGAGGGCCCCTCCAGGCGCCAAGCCCGTCCCGCCCCCGGGTCTCTTCCCGGACTCTGCCGCCCCCCCGCAAGTTACAGCCTCCGGCCTTGTCTGCAGGGGGGTCTCAGGCTCCCCCGGCCTCCCGGCCCCGTCCTGGGGCCGCTCCTGCGGGGACGGGGGGTGCAGCGAGAGCCCAGGCCTCACCCTGCGGTGCCCGCTTCTCACCCAGGCAGTGCCCGACACCTGTCTGCTCCTCGTGAGGGGGCGGTCACGGCCTGCGCCCAGGGTGGGTTATTTTTAAGGAGCTGGTGGCAGCTGAGCTGTCCAGAAATAGGCACCCAAATCGGCCAAGACTCCTCTGCCCCGAAACCCAAGACGGTGGGAGGGGGGACGGGGGGCAGCTGCCGGCTCATGTCTTGGCCAGGCCAGCCGCCCTCCCTGCCCCCGCCCCGTCTCCCAGGCCGGCCTGAGCGCCTCTGTCCTTCTGGGCAGGCGTCCGGGGGCCCCCCAGGAGGGCTCCTGGGCCCATGGGCAGGGTGCCTGTAGGGGTCCCCTTGCAACATGAGGCAGCAAGGGCTCCCTCTCCAAGTGGGGAAACTGAAGCCCCCTGGGCCCTGCTCCTCTACCCAGTGGACTGGGCAGCGACCCCCTGGGGCTCTTGTGTCCCTCACGTCCTGTCCGTCGGGAGGGGGCGGGGCTGGCATTTTGACAGCTGGGACGAAGACCGGCTGTCCGTCCAGTGTCCCGCCCTCAGGGGACAAGGTCGGCCTCCCTTGGGACCCAGGTCCCCCTCCCAAGGTGATCAGATACCGCAGGCGGGGGCAGGGAGGCAGGGAGGCAGGAGGCCCTGCCCCTGCCTGGCTGTGGGCCCCCGGGCAGCCGCTCCTTGCCCACCTCTTCCCAGGACGGCCGAGGGCACCCGCCAGGGAGCGGGCAGTGAGGGCGCCTGGCCCGGGCGACGTCAGGCAGGACAGCTGGGCCCTGGCCCGATGGGGCCCTGGGAAGGGAGGAAGGGGGCGCCAGGCAAGGGGCCTGAGCAGGGCCCCTCGGGCACGGTGCCGCTCCAGGCACAGCCGTTGGGGGACGTGTCTTCCTGGGCAGGCAGGACAGCGGTCCGGTGACCTCTTTCCTCTGCTCTGCCCCCCAGCCGCCCAGCCCTGCTCACCGGCCACCCGGGGAGAGACCCCGGTCTGAGCGCGCCGCGGCAGGTGCGCGGAGCTCCGGCGGCAGCCCCCCGCCCCGCGTCCGCTGTGTCCGCGGGTCCCCAGCTCCCTGCAGCCCCAGCCCCGGGGCAGCCCTCACGCCCTGGACCCTCCCGGGGCCTCTGCTGTCCCCGTGTTCTGGTCGGCACGGCCTCTCTTCGGCCGCGTTGACGTTCAGTGAGAACATCAGCCCTCAGTGCCAGCTCCCGGCTTCCTGGGGGGGGCTCCTGGGGGCTCCCAGCCTCTGTGCTTGGAACTGAGGCTCTTGGGGCACCGCGCCCGGGGCCCGGAGGAGCCTCGGTGCGGACGGCCGGCCGGCCCCGCCCCAGGTCCGTCGCTGGAGGCCGTACCCACCTGCGGCCGAGTCAGGAGAAAGGGCTGGCGCTCCCTGTGGACAGGACCGGCTCAGACACTGCCCGCCTGGGCACACACCCTCGTGTTATAGTGACATTCGATCTTTCCCAGCAGCCCCCTGGCCGGGGCGGGGTGGCCGGGGCTGTGCCCTCGCGGGCCCCTTACCAAGTATAGGAATAGCTGAGGAGAGGCCCAAGGCGCTGAGGCCGGGGGGCGAGTCTGCTGAGGAGACCGCGCCCGCCCTCCTCCCCTGGGCCGTGTCAGCTTCTATTTTTACGCCCCCAGCAGCGGGCACATTCTTGGTGGCTGAGGAGGAGGAAGGAAGGTGTTAGGTGGCCCAGGGACTCGGCCAGCGTTCTCCGCGGGCCCGCCCGCTGTGGGGCCTGGGGGGCTGGAGACCCCTGCGTCCCCGCCCAGCCGCCCTCTGGCCGAGGTGGCAGCGGGGCCGCGCTCCGCCCAGAAAAGGGGGCTGCGCAGGCGGGTTGCACCACACTTTGTCCCTGGCCCGCCCGCCTCCCCATCAGAGGGAACGGTCAGGGCGCGGGGCCCCCCTGTCCGTGGAACGGAGGACCCCGAGGGCTTGGCCAGGCCCCGTCACGGCCCGGCCACCCCGAGGCCACCAGCCCAGAGCTCCCAGTGCGGGGGCCCCAACCCTGCAAGCCCCTCTCGCCACTCATAGTGGGCGGGGCCCCACGCCGTGGACCGTCCCCCAGCCTTTCTTTTCAGACATCTCCCTGGGGCCTCCAATGGCCCCCATGCTGACCAGTGAGGCCACAAGCTCCCAGGCCCTGCCCCTCAAATTAGGGACACCGAGGCACGGGGCAGGGCGAGAGGAGCCTGGCACCCCCTTCCAGCCTCCCTGGGCCGGGGAGGGGCCGCCAGGTGCAGACAGCAGGGCTGTGGGGGGACCTCATCCAGGGCGGCAGCTGGGGGCCGGCCCCGGACAGGGCGCGTCCTGGGAGACTCACGGGGTCCCTGCCCTCGAGCCAGGGAGTCGGGACGTCCGGATGGCCGGCCGGATGCTCACAGGGCCCAGCCCCACCCTGCTCCCTGCCGGCTCTGGGCCCTCAGAGCCCCCTGGGAGGTTCTCGTTGTGCCTCATCCGATCCTCACGAGTTGGAGATAAGGCCACAAGGACCTGAGACAGGCTGGGCGGGGCCCATGGCCAGAGAGCGGGGGGCCGGGTGGGGCCCCTCCCCTGCCCACCTCCCCCGCGCGCCCCCGCCACCGGAGCTGCTGGGGGCGCCCCTGCCCTCCTGGTCGGAACCGGCATTCCTTGTGGGGTCCCTGAGTGGCTCGTGGGCCGCCCTGCCTGCCTCCCCCATGGTGGGGGACTGACCCCTCTTGCTCTGCTGACAGAGAGCTGAAGACCCCCCCAAACACTCAGATGCAGGGGCACACACGGGGACAGCGTCAGGGAGCAGCGGGCCTCGTCTGCAGGCTGGGCGGGTGCCTGGCCTGGGAAGCCACATGGACCCAGCCCCGCTCGGACCGCTTGGGACATGCCCTCAGCCCCGCGGGGCCCGGGGTGCTCAGGGTGGCCCTGCAGTGGCCCCGCTCCGCCAGCAGAGGAGGGCGGCTGCCCGCTCACGCCGCGGCCTCTGGCAGGCGCTCCCCGATGAGTGGCAGGGCCAGAGCGCCAGCGCTGAGGTCAGAGGGTCAGGCAGGTTTTATTTCGGGCCTCAGCGGCCTCCCCTCAGGCGCCGGGCCCGCGGCACAGCCGGGCAGCATCGCGGGCACTGCCTGACAGTGGGCGGCCAGCCGCCGAGGGCCTCCGGCAGGTAATCCACCGGGCCTGGCCCGGCTGCGGGGACCCGAGAGGGCAGGGCAGGGACGCGGCTGGGCCCTGGAGGGGCCCTGGAGGGGCCCTGGAGGGGCTCTGGAGGAGGGGCCGGGGCGGCCCAGCCCAAGCTGCGGCCAGGGACTTGTCTTCGCCCCAGGAGGGGCTTGAGAGCCGGCTGCAGGGCCTCGCCTGCCGGCAGTGCAGGGGGTCTTCCGGTTCGGCCAGGCCCGGCAGAGCCGAGGGGCACTCCCCCTCCCCGCCCGAGCGCCTGGGTTCCAGCTGTCCTTGGGGGTGACCCCCAGGATGGCGGGGAGGGCAGGGTCGCTTCATCATGGCCGGGCCCTCCCTGTGCTTGGCCGGGGGTAGCGGGGCCCCCGGGAGCTGGACCACCTTGGGGGCGCTGAGCGGGCCAGGCGTCACCGGTGCCAGCCGCCCCGCCGTGGCCCGGGCCCCAGGAGTCCCGGCTCTGCCAGGCCCCAGGAGAAGCTGCTGACACAGCGCTTTCGAGCCCTGCGTGCCGCCGCCGCCCCCAACACCCCGGGCGTTTCCGGGATCTGCAGGCCCGGCCTCCTCCGCCTCCCCCGGGGGCGCTGGGCCCGGTGCTGGGGAGCAGGGGTCCTGGGCGAGGCCCTCTCAGGCGGGAGGGCAGGTGGCGGGGGGCGGCGGGCCCTCTGAGCCTCCCGGCCTCCGCGGCGGGCCAGCGCCGACCCCGGGGCCTGCTGTCGCGGCCGCAGTGGAGGGGGAGGGTCAGGGCCGTGGGGCCCGCTGCCCCCGCCTCTCATCCACCCCCCTCTGCCCCGTGGCCTGTCCCCTCTGGTCCCTGCTCACGGCCCCTGCCGGCTGCCCTGCTGTCTCCAGCTGGCAGCCCGTCCTGCTCCGGGTCCTCGGACCCTGCTCTGGACGTGGGCCGGAGCAGGAAAAGGTGGCCGTGACCTCTCGGGTTTTGACCCTTCTTGGCTGTCGCGGCAGCTCTGTCTTTCGGGAGGTTGGCATGTTTCGCCCGTGGAGACCAGAGGCTGGGGGCTCTGGCAGGACCAGGCCTAGAAGGCCAAGGGCCCAGGGCCAGCCTGCGGGGGCTGCTCAGGTGCCTAGTGGGGCAGGGCCGCTAGTCGGACCTGAGTGCGGGCCCGGGGAGAGGCGGGCCTGCGGGGGACTCGCCCTGTCCCCACTTCCCGCCCGAGTCCGCGCGCCCAGCGCCCATCTGTCTGTGCGCGTCCGTTCCCACAAGCCCTATTTCCCGCCCGCCCGCCCGCCCGCCCGCCCTTCATCGCCCACCCCCCGTCCTGTGCGGCAGGCATTTATCTCGCTGTCTGTCCACCACTTGTCCCACTGACTCCACTCACTCCTCGCACAACTATTTCCTGCCCGTCTGCCTCTCATTCCTCTCGAGGCCCATCCATCCTTCCACCCATCCGTCCATCTGTCCACCCATCTATCCATCTTCCACCCACCCATCCATCCACCCGCCCGCCTGCCCCGCCGCCCACCCACCCATATGTCCATCCACCGAACCTTCGCGGAGCGAGGCAGAGCTTGTCCTCGGGGTGCACAGGCCAGAGGCGCACCCTGTTCCGTGCGCTCTGGGGCTCCCACCAGGCCAGGCAGGGAGGAGGCCTCGCAGACCTTCACCCAGGCCGCCACCCGCCTCAGAGCCGCGTCAAATCCCAGAGGCCACTGGCGGGAGGGGGCGTCTGAACCCAGAGGCCAGAGGCCCGGGGCCCACACCATGCCGTGCCGCGGAGTGGCTTTTGCGACCCGGCCAGCCGGCCCCCTTGTCGCTCCCCCATCGAGTGAGCACCGAAGGGCCAGCGCGTGGGGACAGAAAGAGCTTTATTGCGCACAACGGAGGGGCAGCAAGCAGGGGGCGGGGCCGGGCAGGCGCGGCCTGAGCGTCCTGCACAGGCCTCGGTGGCTCCGGGCAGGGGTGGCCCCCGGCAGGTGCCTGCTCTCTGCGTGGGCGGCACCGTCCTCAGCAGCACTTGGCATCCGTGGCGACGGTCCCCTTAGCCAAGCATCGGCGGTGAGAGGCAGAGCCGGCGGGTGAGGGGCGCGGGGGACGGAGGGGGCGGCGGCAGCCGTAGGAGGGGCGTGGGCAGCCAGGCGGGTGACGGGCAGCGGCTTCCTCAGCAGGACGGGGGTGGGCATCCGGCGGGCGCCCCCGGGCGTACGGACAGGGCGTGTGGCGGGAGGTGCCAGCCTGCGCTGGGCCTCAGGACGCTGAAACACAGGGCGGGGGCGGCGTGAGCTGCGGTCCCAAGCGGGCACCCCCGCCCCAGCCCCCAGCCTCTCTCTGCTGGCCCAGCCCACACCCCACTGCCCCCCGCACCGCCAGGGGCTGAGGTCCTGCCGCTGCCCCTGCCGCCGCAGGGCCTGCTGTCGGAGGCTGGGCCCCGGCACCCGGGGCCTTGCTCGGGGGTCCAGTGGTGGAATGCGGCCCGCCCCCCCGCTTGCCTGCAGGTCTGGCAGCCCTCAGAGACGGGCCTGGGGCTCCTGCGGTGGGGGGGGGGGGTCCTGGCCCCCCCCAAGGGCAGGCGGCAGCCCACAGGGAGCCCAGGGCCGACCCCTCAGGCGCCCCCCACCCCCAGGCCTGCGGCTCCTGCGGCAGAGCCAGCGGCCCCCAGGCCTCTCTCCTCCCCCACGCCAGCGGCCTCTGGCGCGGCCCAGACACCATTTGTCAACGTCCTTGCGAGCACGTGGCGCCCAGAAACCAGGGCGGGCGGCTTGGCCGGGACCACCCCAGCCAGGAGGTCTGCGGGAAGATCCGTTTAGCGTAGCTCAGCGAAAATTGCTCCCACCTCCAGGCCAATCGACCTCTGATGATGCGGCCCCGGCCCCCAAGCCCCTGGCCGCCGCCCCCGCTGCCGGCGCGCGGCGGCCGCGCCTGTGGTCAGCCGGCGACGGCGCGGCGCCCCTCACGCGCTTGCAGGAGGACGTGCTTCCTGCCCCGCGGGCGCCTGGCCAGCACGTGCCCCCCGCCTGGAGCCGCCCGTGGGGCTCCCGGCCCCGGCTGCGTCCCAGCCCTCGTCCATCACCCTCCAGCAGCCCCGGCCTCTGCGGGCGCGTTTCTACCCGGGGGTGGCAGAGCCGCCCGCCCACGGCTGCGGCCGCCACGGACGTGCCTGGAACGCACCTGGCAGGTGCCCAGGGCTCCGGGGCATGGGGAGCGACAGCTCCCCGGGCCTCACGTCCTCCCGAATGCGGACAGGTCTCCGCTTGCCCCCTCCCGGGTTGGGGGCTGGGGGCGCGGGGCGCGGGGCTGGCTGACGGCTTCCTCTCCCCTCCGCAGAGCGCAGCGATGGTCATCGCGGCGGCTTCCATGCCGCCCGACGCGGACGGCCTGTGCCCCCAGGGGCCCCCGGGGCCCCCGCCCCCACTGCTCCCGAAGCCTGGGAAAGACAACCTGCGTCTGCAGAGGCTGCTGAGGAAGGCGGCCCGGAGGAACGTGGCGGGGGCCCGGCCCTCTGCCCCGCCGGGGGCTTTCCGCGCCTCCCTGTCCCCCGTGAGCGAGGCCAGCCACGACCAGGAGCCCGCAGCCCCGGGCCCGGCCGAGGCCCTTCGCGTTGTGGCCACCCTGTCCCACACCCCCGTCATCCACCACGTGGCCTCGCCCCTGCAGAAGTCCTCGCTGTCCTTCAGCTTTGCCCAGCGCGGGAGCCTGGCCGCCCCAGGCTCCGGGCCCGCCCGGTCCCCGAGCGGCTTCGCCCGCGTCTCAGCCCCCGCAGCCGGGGCCACGCACGCCAGCCAGGCGCGCGTCTCGCTGGGGCTATCCCCACAGGCTGGGACCCCCGAGCTCCCCGAGAGGGGCCCAGATCGGGGGGGGCCTGGCGGCCAGGATGGAGACGCAGCCCCCCGCGCCCGCGGAGCCCAGCCCTCGATCCCCGTGGCCCACATCCGCCCCCTTCCCGCCGAGGCCCAGGCCAGCAGGCCCTGGCCTGAGGCGCCCCCCGTGCCCCGGCCACCCCCTGGCTCCCAGGCCCCAGGGCCCAGAGAGGCCAGGCCCCGGGTCGTGGTGCCCATAGCTCCCACCTATCGCTCGCCGGGACCCTCGCCTCCCGGGCCGGCCCCCGAAGCTGAGCGCCTGGAGGAGCCCCCCACGGCCGGCCCTGCTGCGGAGGCTGAGCAGGTCTCCAGCCTCCGAGGGGCCTCATCCCCTGCCTTGCCAGCGCACCCAGGTTCCGACCCTGTCCCCGAAGCGGCACCCCCGCCCCGGCTCAGTGGCTGGGCACGTCTCAAGAAGCAGCTGATGGACGAGGTGAAAGAGCCGCCGTTCCCGGGGCCGGAGCCGGGCCCCGAGCAGGCAGAGCAGGAGGGGACGGCCCCCGCAACCCTCTCCCCGCCTGCGCCCCGGCCCCCCGCCGAAACGGCCCCCCGGCCCCCCGCCTCGCGGGCCTCTGGGCTGTGGGACGCGGTGCTGTACCGCATGGCAGTGGCCGAGTCGCACCGGAGCCCGGCGGGGCCCGGGAACGGGACGTGCACCCTGGCCGGCCTCCGCCGCCTGCCCTACCTGTGCCGGCCCCGCTTTAACGCCCGGAAGCTGCAGGAGGCGACCGCGCGGCCCCCTCCCCCGACCCACTCGGTGGTCCTGGAGCGGGGCCCCCAGCCCAGGAACTTCAACCGCACGGCCGCCGGCTGGAGGCTCTGCTGAACCTCTGCAGGGGCAGCCCTGGGGCCGTCGGGCGGACGCAGTCCCAGGAGCTACAGCCTTGGAAGAGGGCAGCAGGACCAGAGGGCTGGGGGGTGCCAGCGGGCGCCGAAGGGGCCTGGCAGTGGCTGGGCCGTCGGGAGGGACAGGTCGGCGCCCGGGAACATGAGGATCGGGGGAAGGGGGGCAGGGCTGGGGGCAGAGCGCGGGGCTGACAGGGAGGAGAGCACCCAGTCCACTGTGAGGCAGGGGCCGGCCAGACTGGCCTCGCACCGGTGCCCGACCAGGTCTCCAGGGAGGCCTGGGGGCTGGGGTGAGGGACACAGAGACCCTGGGGAGGCCTCGGGCCACAGCCCGGGGGCAGGACTCTGGACGGGAAGCCGAGGCAGAAGAAGCGGGCAGGCTGCCCCACCCCCACCCCGGACGCAGAGGTGGCTGGACACGGGTCCTGGGACCCAGGCCACGAATAAAAGTGTGTCGCACCACGGCGGAGGGCTGCTGTCCGACTCCATGCCTGCTGACGGGAAGGGCGGTGGGAACCAGAGGGGTCCCCGGGGAACAGGAGGGCAGGACCAAGGCCCTGGCCCCCTGCAGACCGCCAGCCGGCCCCGGCGGGACCCATGCTCCCAGGGCTCCATGGCCTGGTGCCACCGACCTCCCCTAACACCAGCCCTGCCGTGGCCGGAGAGGCCCAGTGGGGACGCAGTGGCTTCTTCCCAGGACAGAGGCTCGGACTGGCCCCTCGGAGGAGGGCTGAGCAGGGCCGAGGCCCCAGGAGGAACAGGGTTCGGAGGAGGATGGGGTGGGAGCGCACCCGCAGCGGTGGATGCCCAGCCGCATCGGGGCTGTGGCCGGCCACTGGGCCTTCCCAGGCTCCTCTGCAGCCACTGCCACGGGCAAGCAGGCCGTCCACACGGCCACGGTCCCAGAACACACACCGTGCAGCGCGCGCCGGCGGCGCCCTGGACTCACCGGGGGGAGGGCTCAGGGCTCCGCGCCCTCGTCCATCGGCACCTTCTCGTACTTCCCATGTCCGGTGGCCACGAATTTGTACCTCTTCCCGGCCGGGGTGCTCTGCTGCGGGAGTAGGCCGAGAGCCGACGTGAGCAAGGCAGAGGGGGGTGGGCGGCACTGCCTCCAGGAAGCCCCCCAAGGCACTGAGAATGACGCCCCGGGCTTTCCCCCGCTGGGCCGCCTCCCCGCATCGTCCGCCTTTAGGCTCTACCTTAATTGTCGGCGGTGACTTGGTGTCTCCTCTCTGCTCCCAGAAGTTTTTCTTGCTCATGTCCCCAGCCACGATGTCCTGGGGGCAGAAGAAGGGCCAGCTGCACACCGCAGCCTGCGGGACCCCAAGCCCCGGACCCTCTCTCCTGCCTGGCCCTGCCTGGCTCGGGGCCGGGCCTGCCTTCCTGCCTCCTTGTGTGAGAGCCGGGGAGAGGCAGGGTGGGCAGGGCGCACCTTCGACCTTCCCTCAGCCCAGCAGCCTCCTCCACGCGGCCTCCCGTCCTTGGGGCCAGCCTCATGGTGGACCCCGGCTCCCCCAGACTCCCCAGGCCCCGTCGGCCCGAGCCTACGCCGGAAGGGCCCCTCACGCGCCTCACCAAGGAGCCTGGCCTTGCCACAGGAGGGTCCTACCTTGCAGGAGGGGCCCTTGGCAGCCGACTGAGCCTGCACCTCTCCCGTCTCCCACCGGCTCTTGGAGCTCGCCACGGTCATGCTGGGCAGCTCGATGGAGGGCTGGCGAACCAGCTTGGGGGCCCGGCCGGCGGTCTGCAGAGGAGACAGGGCCCGGGGCTGCTTCAGAGGGGGCCACAGGGGTCCCGTCAGAGAGGCCACCGCGAGAGCCTCCGACACACGGTGGCAGCCGCCGGGTCTCCGCCTCCCGGGCGCTGCGGCGAGGGCAGGGCACCCTGGTCAGAGGTGCGCTCCTCCATTCGGGGCGCGCGCGAGACGCCGGGCTCTGCGGAGGCCGGGTGACACGGGGGGACAGGGGACGGGCATGGGCGTCCTCAGGCTGCTCGTGGCACCGAGCTGGGGGTGTGGGTGGGCGGGAGGGTGCTGGTTGTAGAGGGCTGTCGGCTGGACGGAGAGGTGTCGGCCGGATGGAGAGGTGTCGGTTGGGTGGAGGGGCGTCGATTGGAGGGCCGTTGGTTGGACAGACGGGTGTTGTTTGGACGGGGGAACAGCCACGTGACCGGAGGCCAGGCCCGGCAGACGCGCAGAGGCCGCGCGTACCTCGACGGCCTGGGTGTACTGCTCCAGCCGCTCATCGATCTTGGAGACAGGCAGGACAGGCTGGGACCGCTTCACGCTGTTACTGGAGGGGAGGAGGAGGGTCACGCCCCATGCGCCTCGCTAGGCGCCCCCACCCCGCGCTGAGGCCTGGGCGAGCGCCCTCGGGCGCCCCGGTGTCCACCCCCTCCCACTCTGGGAGAACCCGGGTCCCAGCCCGGAAGGCCAGTGGACGCACCTCTTCTCGATGGAGCGGGCCAGGGACTCGGCTCTGTCGATGAGCTGTGCAGGGCGGGCAGAGGTGTGAGCCTCCCAGGCCGAGCGAGGCCCACGCTCCGTCCCTGCCCCGGTGTGGCTCCCATCCAGTGCTGGGAGTGAGGAGGGGTGGGGGCGAGCGGGGGCCCGGGGGGCGGCAGAGAAAGAGCAGGAGCTCTCCCTAATCCGGGGCTGGCGCGGGCTGCTTCTTGGGCTGGGAGGGAGGAAAAGGCAGCAGGCTTTGCGCTTGACCTACTTTGGCGCTGGGGCTCAGGGGCGGCGAGCCCGGCTCCGTGGTCTCCTCCAAGACCAAGGTACTAGGTGTCCTGGGCTGCTGACATTCCTGAAATTAAGAGCAAAAAAATCTGAGCCCGAGGGACCTAGGCGACCCTCCCCCTGCCCCCGCCTGCACCGCCTGGGACCTGTCGGAGCAGCTCTCTCCCCCCCGGGGCCTGGGGTCCTTCCCAGCCCTGACGTGCTTCGGTTCTGGAACTCTCTGCAGCAGGGCCTGAGCATGTGGGCTCACCGAGCCCCACCAGACTGTGGGTGAGGGGTGCTGGCTCTCTCTCGGCAGGGCCCACAGGGTGCACAGGGAGCAGGAAGGGGCGCAGCCCAGACCCCGGGGACACCACCTTCACCTGCTCCTCGGCCTCCCCCGCCTCTGCGAGGCCCGGGCTGCCCTGGCCGGTCTCCTCGGGGCCCACGGGCCCCGTGCACTCGGGCTCTGACCCCCCCAGGAGCTCGGAACCAGGGCTCAGACGCAGTTCCTCCAGGCAGACTCCGGCAGGGCTCAGCTCGTCACCGCTCTGGTCCCCGCAGGGCCTGTGGGGGGAAGAGGGACGCGGCCTGACCGAGGGTCCTTCGGTCCCGCTGTCCAGGTCCCGTCCTGTTTCCTAGGCTCAGGCTCCCCATCTGAGGGGTGGGCCGGTCAGGCCCCTTGAGGCCGAGGTACCCCGAGACCCGGCACCTTCGGGGGCGGGGGCACAAGGACCCGGCAGCCAGCCCCTCCCCACGGAGGGCCACCCTGGCTGAGGCCAGACCTGCAGGCCCCGCGGACAGGCCCCGCCTCACGCCCTGCCCGTCCTCGTCCACCCTGCGGCCAAGGCTGCCCCTCTCCGTGGGTGGCGCCGGGGCCTCGGGGACGAGGCTGTTGCGTGGGAATGAGGTGGGGTCTGTGGGTGGTCTGGGGGGTTGGTCAGCTGGCGGACAGGCCAGGGCCGGCCCCGGCGAGGACGCGTCCCCAGGCAGAGGGGCCGCCTGAGCTGGCCCCGCGCGAGGGGCGGCCAGCCTGCTGGCCGCCGGCCGCTCTGCATTTGAGCGGGACTGAACCTGGAGAAGAAGGTGGGAAATTCTCGAATTTTCCATGATTTCAGGCCCCTTGGTGTTCGTGCCAAGCAGGACCCAGACCCACCGCCCAGGGCGGGCTGGGGCCCAGCCAGCAGCAGGCACACAGAGGGCCCATTCAGCCGCCGTGGGGCGGCGGGCGCGCAGGGCCAGGCAGGTGTGGGGGTGCAGGGAGGAGAGGCCGGGGCTCCACGGAAGAGCCAAAGTGCCCCCTGCTGGCGGGAATGGTGCCTGCCGCGGGCGGGAGGAAGGAGCAGGGCGGGTGGGCCACCCAGCCGGCCCGGGCCCCACTCCGGACGTGCAGCCTGTGCTTACAAAGGCGGATGGGGGAAACTGAGGCCTGGAGGGGCTGGGGGGCGTGGGAGGTTGCCTGTGTGGGTCGGAAGGCGGCCGGCAGAGCCACGGAGGGCCCCCCGCTACAGGCCAGGGCTGCTGGCGGGGCCGGGAGGTGGCCTGGATTCGGGGGGGCAGGCGTGGGGGTCTGGTGACACTCAGGGCAGAGGGAGGCCCTGCTCCCCAGCCGGAGCCCCCAAGCAGAAACGGGACCCTGAGCGAACGGCCTGCAGAGCTGGGAGAGCAGCTCAGCAGCCCCGCTGCTCGGAGCCCTGAGCTCGGGGGGTGGGGGGCCAGGCCCCAGGAGCAGCCCCCCGTCCTGGGTCTGGGGGTACGTGGGCTCCCACCCCCGCCCACCCCGGTTCAGCCCGGCAAACACGTCTGCACATCTGGAAAGCTTGTCCCCCAGGCCGCCGCGCGGGCCCGCACATCTGGAAATACCTGCTCCCCTCCGTGGGAATGGAGGGCAGCCAGCCCCGGGGGAGGAGGGGCGGGCGCGGGGGCCAGGGCCTCCGTTACGTAAGCGGGCTGCAGATGTGGGCTGATGTGGCAACGCCCGCAGGCCGCAGCTGGTCTGGATGGGGCCCAGGGCCCTGGGGAGCCCAGGAATGAGATTTCCTCACCGCGGCTCCACAACCCCTCGCGCCGCCTGGCTGTCTCGCTCTCTTCCTCCCTCGCCCCCTCCCAGGCGTGGGGCCCTTTTGGGGGGCCGGCTGGGAAGGGGAGCGGAGGCCTACTGCTCAGGCCCACGGTGGGGGCGACAGAGCCCCTGTGGCAGGCCCGTCTCCTGCCTTGAACCCCCACTTGCCTGTCCTCCTCCTGCTCCCCGTCCGGGCCCCCTCCCCGAGGGGGCGGCTGCAGCTCCGGCTTCTGGGACCAGTCGCTGAACCCCTCGTCCTCGTCCAGTCCAGGCCCCTCCGAGGCCTCCAGGCTGAGGGGAGAGAGCAGCAGGGGCTCGGGCGGGGCCGGGGACCCCCATCCCACCCTCCCAGGCCCTGCGCACCCCGGAGGCGTTCCACATGGCTGCACCCCATCTGTGGTCCGAGGGCCCCAAGGGCAGGACTGTGTCCCCCGTCAGCCCAGGGCCCCCCCAGAGCCGGGCCGTGTCCCCCCCGTCAGCCCAGGGCCCCCCCAGAGCCGGGCCGTGTCCCCCCCGTCAGCCCAGGGCCCCCCCAGAGCCGGGCCGTGTCCCCCCCGTCAGCCCAGGGCCCCCCCAGAGCCGGGCCGTGTCCCCCCCGTCAGCCCAGGGCCCCCCCAGAGCCGGGCCGTGTCCCCCCCGTCAGCCCAGGGCCCCCCCAGAGCCGGGCCGTGTCCCCCCCGTCAGCCCAGGGCCCCCCCAGAGCCGGGCCGTGTCCCCCCGTCAGCCCAGGGCTCCCCCAGAGCTGGGCCGTGTCCCCCCGTCAGCCCAGGGCCCCCCCAGAGCTGGGCCGTGTCCCCCCCGTCAGCCCAGGGCCCCCCCAGAGCCGGGCCGTGTCCCCCCGTCAGCCCAGGGCTCCCCCAGAGCTGGGCCGTGTGCCCCCCGTCAGCCCAGGGCCCCCCAGTCAGCATGTGCCTTCCTGTCTTCTTAGCAGAGCCCCCAAGCTCCTTCCCTGGCAGCTGTGTGAACCCCTGTGCTCTGTCTCCCGCAACAGGCCTGTGACCCTGATGCTCAGGGGTCCCCTGCCTGCCCCCCAGCCTCCGCCGGTCTGCACAGGACCGGGCCCAGGGGGCCGTGACCGCGGCAGGACCCCACCCCGCCCAGAGCTGCTGACTCGGAGAAAACGGAACAGAGCAGGGCTGGGAGGGGGCGACGTTGGAAAAGCAGCCCATTCCAGCCGGGCGGGGTGGGGGGGGGCCTCCTGGGCCGGGGAGGGAGCGGGCGGGCCAGGGCCCCGCCGACTTGGCCTTGGTCTCCGTGAGTCACCGGCAGCCGGGAGCCTGGGCGGGGGGCTTGGGGCCCAGGGCCCTGCAGCTGGGGTCAGAGTCCGTCCAAGCAAGGGCCGGGCGCTCGGCGTGGCCAGGGCCTGCACCCCAGGGGCCTCCGGGAGGGGGGCTGCAGGCAGGCGCGGCCGGCAGAGCCGAGGGCTCCCTGCGCCCCCGGGGCGGGGACGCCCCTTACCCATGAGCACCCACCAGCCCTGTCCCGGCTCGGGTCAGGCCCCCAGCGCCCGCCTCTGCCCAGGCCGCGGGGCCAGGCCGGCCGGCGGGGGCAGCTTGCAGCTTACAGCTTCTCCTGCTCCGGGGACCCCGGGGGCTCCGGGGACCGGCTGCCTCCATCCCAGGCGTGGGCCTGCAGGTACCCGTCTCTCTCCTGCCGGCATGGCCCCTGGGCAGCCTCCTCCTCATCTTCGGGGCTCCACTGCGTGGCGGGCCTGCAGGACACGGAGAGACGGTCACGCCACAGCCTGTGCGCCCACTCCTCCGGGCCTCGCCGGCCTCACCGGGGCTGCGTGGAGGGGGCTGCACGGCCCCGCCCTCCGCCGACCTCAGTCTCCCCGTCTTTCAGGCAGGGTCATGTGCGACACTGTGAAGGTGCCCCGGGGGGGGGGCGCCAGTCCCGGGGCTCTGCCCGCATCTGGCTTCCGGGTGCCTCCTGGCCCTGGCAGGCCTGGAGTCCAGGCCTGGAGAAGCCCATGGGTCCTCCTGCCACCAGCCTGGGCTCCTGGACCCGAGCAGAGCCAGGCTGCAGGCCAGAGTGCCCTTGGCTCCAGGCAGGGCCCCAGAGGGCATGGAAGGCGTACGGAGCTGGCGTCAGGGGTCCCGCCTGAGCCCGGTGACAATGGCCCAGCCGGACACTGCCACCCTGGGCCGGGGCCTGGGCCTGGGCCTGCATCAGGCGCGACAGACCAGCCAGCCAGCTGCCTCGCTGCCTCGACCACCCCAGCTGGGGCGCTCCTCCCTGCTCCTCCGGAGCACGGGGACGTGGGAGACGGTGGCCCCACATGAGGGCTCGAGGCCCCGAGAAGAGGAGCCCCCAGCCTGGGCCGGCCCCGCTCCCAACGGCGGCCCGGCAGCTCGGCTCACCCAGCGGCACCCAGCTCCTCTCAGAGCCCTGCGTGGGGTCGCGGTGGGCTCTTTCACAGATGGGGAAACCGAGGCCCACGGCAGAGCCAGGCCCAGGAGAACTCCCCCAACCCCCGCCCTGTCCTCAGGGCTACAGGAGGGAGGCCTGGGGCGGCGGGGGGGGGGGCGGTCCTCGGCCCAGAGACCCAGACCCTCGGTGTGGAGCCGGCACGGCCCTGCCCCGCACCCCGTGCCCCTGCAGCCCTGGGGGGGCCCCGGGTCCCCACTTCGGCAGGGCGCGCCGCCCCCCTGCCCAGCCCCCCTGCCCGTGTCCGCTGCCTGACCCCGCGGCGCAGCCGGCGCTATCTCGTGGGCCTCCCGCGGCCCCGCCCCCGCCCCTCCGGCAGCGTGATCTAATCTCTCCTAAGTCTCCTCGGAGCCTCGCAGACAAAAGCCAGGCCCCTCCGCAGCCTCAGCCCGGGCCCGCTCCCCCCCTTCGCGGGCGGCCGTGGGACTCTGGCCTCCGCACCCCCGTCCGCCCCCACTCCCGCCCCACGGGCCCCAGGGAGCCCCTGATCCCCCACACCTGGCCCCCTCACAGGGGCCCCAAGCCGGGGGCTGCAGCCCCTTCCCTGTGGAATGTGGAGGCTGGGGGGCCCTCGGGCCTCTGCGGGGCCCGGGCCTGGGGCTCCTGCACCCCCCCGCCGCCTGCCCCCGCAGTCTCTCCGAACGGCCGGTGGGAGGGCGGTGCCACGGTGCGGGCTGCGGGGTGCAGGAAGGCGCCCCGCAGCCCTGTCCGGGGGCAGCCGTTCCTTGGAGCAGCGGGACGGCCATTTTGTTCCCCTCGCTCGGCGCGCCAGGCCGCACGGCCATGCCTGGGTTGGGTGCTCGGATGGCCTGTGTGGCTGGTGTCTGCGTGGGCCCCCGGGGGGAGCCCGCGCAGGCCTCCCTGCCCCCCAGGGCTGTTCTCCTGCCCCCAGACCGCCCTGCCGAGCCCTGGGGACCCGGCCCGGCAGGGCTCTTGGGCTTGAGCGTGGGCACGTCCCCCAGGCCTCCCCCGGGGGGACGTGCTCAGGCCACCGGAGCCCCTTGCAGCCCGCGCTTGGCGCCCAGCACCCGTGGCCAGGCCTCCCGTGTGCGGGCACATGCACATGCTCTCTCCGTGAGCCCCACACACGGGCCCACGTAAGCACACGTACCCACAGCCCACGGCACGCTCACATGCGTGCCCCACGGACGTGCACGGGCAGAGCAGACGTGGGGACAAGGTGAGGGCGAAATGGCAGGAACGGCCCCCCGCGCTCTGTTTACTGTTTGCCTGGCCGTTGCCCTGACGACGAGTTGGGAGAGGCCGGGGCGCGTTTGCTGAGAACACCTTCCCAGAGGCCCCTCTGAGGGTCGGTCGCCCCCCGCGCCTGCCACCACACAGGACCCCCGGAGTCCTCCCGGGCAGGGAGCTCGGGGGGCAGAGTGGGGTGCCGGGCAGGGGTCCCCGGGTGTCTCCCCAAAACCCTGCACCGAGAGAAGCCACCCCAGCCGGCAGCCCCTGACCCAGAGGCCCAAGGACAAGGAGCCTGCCGGGCCCCTTCCCTCCCGCCTCCTCCCCCTCCCCACGGCCCCAGGATGTGAGTAATGCAGCCCCTCCTGGCCCCCTCCCATGACCTCAGCCCGCGCTGATCCACAGCTGGGCCCTGTTCTGGGAACTGAGAAGGGGGCGGCTCTCCTGGGGTGGGGTGGGGGCCTGGCCTGGGAAAGGCGCCCCCGGCCAGAGGCCCAGGCCCCTTGGCACGCTCAGCGGAGCTGTCAGGACGCTGGCGACAGCCGGCCGCCTGCGGCCCCAGCTCAGCCGCTGCAGCTGCAAGGGATTTGCTGTTCCTCCGCAGAGGCAATTAGGCGATTTCCTGTGTCTGTTCCGGCCCCGCGCTTGGGGCCCAGGGTTCAGCCCGGGGGGCGCGGGAGTGGGGCTCGGGCCTCCCCCTCCCGGGGTCAGGCTCCACCGCGGGGGCCCGGTCTCCCCCCTTGCCCGCGCACACTGGCGGCCGCCGCCTCCTGGCTCCCCGCTCGCTCGGAGTGGGGGGTCCCTGAATTCAGGGGTTGCCCGCTCTGGCTGGGTCCATCGTCTGCAGCCCCCAACTCAAAACCCCGGCCCCCTCCTCTCCCTCCTCCGTGCGGTCCTGGGCCAGGCCTGGCCCTCCCGGCAGCGGTCCCACCCACTTCCTCCCCTGCCTGCGTGGCTGCCTCCAGAAGGGGCCTCAGGCCTGGGCCCTGTCTCGACTCTGCCCCCTGCAGGCGGCTGGTGGGCTGCCCCACCGGCTCTCAGTGGTGCCCACCGGGCTGCTCAGAGGCCTGGGGAGAGCTGGGGGCTCGGCTGAGGCCCAAGGGAGAACAGCCAGCCCAGGCCCCTCGCGGGGGACTTCTGCAGGCCACAAGTCTCTGGACGCCATGGCGGGAGTTGACTGGGGGGCCTGGAGCGCTGCGCTGGTCCCCCACCCTCATGCCCAGCCTCCCTGGGGTCCGTGTGCCATGGACCGGAGTGGACACTTGCGGAGGGACAGGCCGTGAGTGAAGGGACAGAGAGCTGAGGGAAAGGACCCCCCGAGATCCCGAGGAGGGCGGAAAGCAAGCGCCCCGATCACCCCCCGTCACAGAGCGGGACCCCCAGGCGGAGCCTGGCCCCTCTCGAGGAGCTCTGGGGGGGCCGCGTGCACCCCGCCCTCGGGGGCGCCCCTTGCTAATTGCGCGAGGCAGGGTCCTGGCCCGGGAGGGCTGGGGAGGGTCTGTGGCAGGGCGCTTCCAGGGGCCGGCTGGCACTCCCCTTGGCAGGGGCAGCTGGGGGTGCAGCTGTAGGGGGGGCACAAAGAGCCCCGAGCCAGCTCGCAGCAGGTGGGTGGCGGGTGGGGCGCAGGAGCGCGAGGCGCCCCGGGCGGGGGTGTGGGGCGCTGCAGCTGCCGGGACCCTCCCCCACCGTCCTGGCCCCGGTCCAGCCCAGCCCCCTCCAGCGGCACCTTCCTGAGTGTGCCTGCGTCTGTGCCTGGCGGGGCCCAGGGGAGGCCACCCCTGTCCTGGTGGCCGCAGGCCCGGCCGGGCCCCTGCTGCCCGGGAAGCTCGGGGGGCAACCTTCCGCTCGGGGCTGAAAGCCGCGCGGGGTCTGTGGGCCCAGGAGACGGCGGGGCGGGGGCGCGGGCAGGCCAGCCGCCCGCGGACACCGGGGTGGCTGAGGCTGGGCGGGGGGAGCGGCTGCGGGAAGGTGGGCGGCGGTCCCCACGTCCCCCCTGAGGGCAGCTCTGGCAGGTCTTGTGCCAGCACAGGCCCCGTCAGGCTAACATTCTGGGAGGAGGCCCAGCTGGCACGTGGAGGAGGGAGAAGGAACAGGCAGGGACGGTCCCCCCGCGCCGTGGGGAGGCCGAGGGGATAGGTTTGGGGGGGGCACAGAGTTGGCCTTGGGCGTGCAGAGTGGGCTGCGTGGGGACCCCTCTGGGGGACGGTCCATGGGGTGGAACTGCGGGGGAGGGCAGAGCTCTGGGAGCAAGTCCACCGGAGCCGAAAGGCCAGGGACCGGGAGTGAGAGTCAGGGAGGCCGGGAGCGCCGGCCGAAGGCCCTGCTGCCTCCTCACCAGGCCCTTTCTCCAGCCAGGGCGCCTCCCGGTTAACGCTGAGGTCCCCCGGCGACTGGCTGGCTGGTCACAGTCACACCACCACAGGGGGCCCGCCTCAGTGTCCCCATGAATGAGGCCGAGGGTGCTGAACAGCACCCCCAATTGCAGGCACTCCTGGGGAGGGGCGTCAGGGCGGGGCCGGAGCCAGGGGCCAGGGTGGTGCCAGGCCTTGGGAAGGCTCCGGGCAGACGGACTGAGCCGAGGGCCCCGGGGTCACGGGGGTTCCAAGCAGGAACCGGGGCAGGGTCGGAGGCGGCTGGCTGGGGCTGTGCGGTGGGGAGCCAGCGGTCATCCTCGGGCAGCGGGACGAGGCCTGCGGGGGCAGGGACGTGGGGTGGGGGCGAGGGCCGAGCGGAGGGGCTGCAGGGCCGGGCCAGGCTGGCCGGCACTCAGTCGCCCAAGGAGGGCAGCCCAGGAAGGTCAGAGAGCCGCGAGGCCGCTCCAGGGAGGAGGAAGGGGCTGGGCCCATGGCCGCGCCGAGCGGCCTCGGACCCCGGCCCAGCCTCCAGCGCCCCGTCGTAAAGCGGGGCTCCGATCTCGTCAGCCAGGAGACAACTGGGACTGTCCCCGCTGGGCCCAGCCCCAGCCACCCCAAAGCTGGCGCTGCTGGCAGACCTGTGCCCCCGAAAGAGGAGGCCAATGCCCCGGCGGGGCAGGCCTGGCCCACACCCTGCACCCCGTCCCTCCTAGCCCCGAGCAGCCTCCAGGAGGGC